GTGACACATTTAAAGGGGCTAATTTAGGCATAGCAGGCACTGTGACTAATAAAGATGAGGTTCCACATGTTAGAAAAAGTATGACCAGAAGGCCACCAAGGACTTTAATAGAGTTTTTAGTTAGCTTCAGTCAAGATAAGAATAAAGTTTAACTTGTATGTATAAAATTCCTACATTCTCCCACCCCTCTGCCCTATCTAGAGTTCTCCATTCCTCCCATGCTCCCTCTCCCTATCCCACTATGAATCTGCCTCCTTATGTCAAAGAAAACATTGGCATTTGTGTTTTTTAGGATTGGCTTACTTCACTTAGCATTATCTTCTCTAATTCCATCCATTTACCTACAAATGCCATGATTTTATTCTCTTTAGTGGGAGAGGAGGGGAGGGGGCATGGGGTAGTTAATGATGGTTGAATGTGATGATCATTATTATCCAAAGTACAGGCATGAAGACACAAATTGGTGTGAATAACTATGTATACAATCAGAGATATGAAAAATTGTGCTCTATATATGTAATAAGAATTGTAACACACTCCGCTGTTATATATAAATTTTTTTTTAAAAATGCAAAGTGTATCCTCAACTGGATTCTGGAATAGTAAAAGGGCACTGTGGAAAAAGTAGTGAAATCTGAATAAAGTCTGGAGTCTACTAAAAAAAATAAAATAAAATAAAAAATAAAATAAAATTCCTACATTCTGCCTTAAACAACTGAACTTCAAAATATTTTCAATAAAAGGATGAAAATCTTTTAAATAAAACAAATAATGGTAATTTTAAAATGTAGAGAAAATGAAATATGTATACCTTTATTTTTTAATTTTCAAATTCAATGATTGTAAAGATAGAGCTAGAAGAGGTTTCAAGATGGCAGAATAGATCAGGTTACTTTCCTGGCTGCTCCGTGGTGTGAAACCAAGAAAGCAAACGGGCATCTTCTCAGCAATGTGAATGAAAGGGGAAAAAGTGGGAAGGCTTCACTGGAATTTAATACTGGGCACTCAATGCAGATCAGGAACTCAAGAGGTTGGATATAATAAAATATGGAAGAAATCTGCAGCGCCTTAGCCATTGCCATGGGCTGAGTACCAGCCAGAGAAATCCCTCTATGAGCTCTGTGGAGGGATAAGAGACCCACATATATATATAGTTCTCTCAAAGTAGACAAAACTACTTGTTTACTTTTTAAAATTACTTGTAAACTCAAATTTACTTTTTTTTTTTTTTACATTTGAATCTAGGCTTTTCCAACACAGTATTTTTTTTTCTATTTTGAATCTGTTAATATGGTGAATTAGCTGAAATGATTTCCAAAAGTTAAGTTGACTTCCATTCTACGTGAAACAAATTAATCATGATATATGGTTGGCTCAAATTTTGTTTAGTACTTGTATTTCTATTCAGAGACAACTTAAGTTACAGACTTTCCTCTTTCAAACTGTCACTATGGATTTTTAGTAAGAAAGTGTTGATAGCTCAATAAAATGACTTGGAAGAAGTTTTTTGTTGTTGTTTTCTGTTCTCAGAAAACTTTTATGTAAGATTGAAATTTTGTCTATTTTTGCTTTACTTGTTTGGTAAAATTTTTTGCCGATTCACCATCTGTGAAGGTATTTTTTAAAAAATTTTAACTGATACTCTAAAACATAGAAATTGTACATATTAATGGGGTATCATATAATGTTTGATACATGTATATTGTATAATGTTTAAAGCAGGTCATGCTTATTTATCTTCTGAAACGTTTATCATTTTTTAATGAAAACTTTCAAAATCATGTCAAGCTTTTTGAAATATACAGTATATAATTGTTATCTATATTCACCATACTGTGCAATTGTAGCCCAGAGCTTCTTGCCCCTATCTAATTGTACCTGTTGACCAACCTTTCCCCATCTACAGTCCCTTACTCTCCCTGACCTCTGGTAAGCACAATCTCTTTCTCAACTTGTATGAGATTGACTTTTTAAACTTTCACATATGAATGGGATCATGCAGTACTTTTCTTCATGTACCTAACTTATTTCACTTAATATAATCATCTCCAATTCATCCATGTTGTCACAAGTGAGAGCATTTCATTTGGTTTTGTGGCTGAAAAGTATTCCATTGTGTATATGTACCACATTTTCTTTAGCCATTCATCAGTTGAGGGCTGCTTAGGCTATTTCCACTTCTTGGCTATTGTGAATAGTGCTTCAATAAACATGGGAGGGTGGATGTCTTTTCTGATTACTGATCTTATTTCCTTTGGATCTATAACCAGTAGTAGGATTGCTGGATCATTTTTAATTTTCTGAAGAACTTACATACTATTTCCATAATGGCTACACTAATGTACATTCCCACCAACAGTGGGAAAGTGCTTCCTTTTCTCCTCATCCACACTTGTTATCTTTAGTCTTTCTGATAGTAGCCATTCTTATTGGGGTGAGGTGATAGCTCACTGTGGTTTTGATTTGCATTTCCCTGATAATTGTTGGTGTTAAGTATTTTTTAAATTACTTGTTGCCATTTGTGTGTCCTGTTTTGAGAAATGTTTGTTTAAGATCTGTTGCCCATATTTTTTTCTGTTTTGTTCAATTTCTTTTCCAGTGTTTTAATCAATGTCAATAATAAAAGAAAATATGACATAAAGAAATTGGAAAAGACTAACACAGTTGTACTTTGTATTGCCCATTTTTTAAAAGATGCTTTTTTTTTCCCACTGAGTTTTAGAGTTCCTTCATTATTCTGGATGCCAATTCCTTGTCAGTTTTGTGCATTGCAAGTATTTTCTCCTATCATGTAAGTCATCTCTCACTTTTTTTGAGTGTTTTCTTTGCTGTGCAGAAGCTTTACAAATTTTTAAACATTTTTATTGATGAATTATAATTAGATATTATATTGGAATTCATTGTGCCATCTTCATACATTTATGTAGCATAATTCGATCAGTCTCATTCCACAGTACAAAGCTTTTTACTTGTATGTTATCCCCTTTGTCTGTTTTTGCTTTCCTGTGCTTTTGGGGTCTGTCTGAAATATCCTTGTCCATTCCAGTGTTGTGAATAATTTTTCCAGTTTTCTTCTAATAGTTTCATAGTTCCAGATCTTACATTTAAGTATTTAATCAATTTTGACTTGATTTTTATCAAGAGGGAAGGATCTAGTTTCATTCTTCTATATATGGATATCCAATTCTCCCAACACCTTTTATTGAAGACTGTCCTTTTTCCAATGCATATTCTTAGCACTTTTGTCAAAAATCAGTTGGTGATAGAAGTGTGTTTACTTCTAGGCTTTCTATTTTGTTCTATTGGTCTATGTGTCTTTTTAGTCCAATGCCATGTTGTTTTGATTACTACAGTTTTGTAGTATGTTTTGAATTGAGGTAGTATAATACCTCCTGCCTCCCCTACTCTTCCACCCCAACTAGCTTTAGCTATTCATGTTTTTGTTTTGGGAGATCTACATAAAATTTAGAATTGTTTTTCCTAGTTCTGTGAAAATTGGTATTTAGGTAGAGATTACATTGAGTCTGTAAATCACTTTGGGAACTAGGGACAGTTTAGTAATATTGATTCTTCCAAACCATTAACATGGGATACATTGCCCCTTTTTTGGGTTCTCTTCAGCTCATTTCATCATTGTTTTATGTTTTTCATTGTGGAAGTCTTTCACTTCTTGGATCAAATTTATTCCTAGATATTTTATTTACTTATTTTTTTGTAGCTATTGTAAACAGTATTGCTTTCTTGATTTCTATTTAGATACATTTGCTACTGGGATATAACAGTGCTTTTATGTTGATTTTATATCCTACAACTTTGTTGAATTAATGTATTAATTCAAATAGGTTATTGGTGTAGTTTGGGTGTTTTCTACATATCAGATCATGCACTTTCAAAGAGTGACAATTTGATTTCCTTTTCAATTTGATGCCCTATGTTTCTTTCTCCTTTCTGATTTCTTTGGCTAGGACTTATTTGAACTGAATTAAAGTGGTGAAAGTGAGCATCCTTGTCTTCTTCCAGATCTTAGAAAGCTTTCAACTTTTCTCCCTTCAATATAATGTTAATTGTTGGCTTATTATAAATGGTTTTTATTACATTCAGGTATGCTCCTTATATGTCTATTTAAATGTTCAATATTTTCATCTTGAAAGAATATTAAATTTTATCAAATGCTTTCTCTGTATCAATTGAAATGACCATGTGGTTTTTGACCTTTATTCGGATGATATGGTAGATCACATTTGTTCATGTGTGTATATTGAGCTATCCTTCCATCCCTGAGATGAGTACTATTTGATCATGGTGAATAATCATTCAGTGTGCTATTAGATTTTTTTTTTTTGCTAGTATTTTTGAGGATTTTGTGAGGATTTTATTGTGCCCTTATATGGTTTTGATATCAGGAGGTTGGCCTCTCAGAGTACATTTGGAATGATCTGTTCCTCTTCTGTTTTTTGAATAACTTAAGGATAACTGGTTTGGTAGAATTCAACAGTAAAGCCGTCTGGCCTGGACTTAAATTAGATGGGAAACTTTTTATTGCTGATTCAATTTCATTCTTGTTATTAGTGGGTTCAAGCTTTCTGTTTCTTCATGACTCAGTCTTGGTAAGTTTTATGTGTCTGGGAGTATGTCCATTTCTCCTACATTATCAAATTTATTGGCATATAGTTGTTTATAATAATCACCTACCAATCTTTTGTATTTCTGTGGTGTCAGTTGTAATGTTTCCTTTTTCAATATCTTTTTTATTTTTTGAGTCTTCTCTCTCCTTTTCTTGGTATAGCTACTTGTCTATTTTATCTTCTTGAAAAACCAGTTACTTGTTTCATTGTTCTTTTGTATTGCTTTTTTAGTCTCCATTTTACTTATTTCTGCTCTGTTCTTCATTATTTCTTTACTTGTGCTAAGTTTGGGTTTAGTTTGTTCTTGCTTTTCTATTTCCTTGAGATGCAGTGATAAGTTGCTTATCTGACATTTTTCTACCTTTTTTTTTCCAGTGCTGGGGATCAAACCCAGGATCTCAACATGCCAGACAAGCACTCTCAACCAGCCACAGATGATGCTAGATGAATGAAAGGCTGATAGACTGGGGTCACATTTCTTCCTCTAGCACTGAAGATGTTCCAGAGGCTCTGTCCACCAGCAGGCCTGGGGCTAGGAGCTGTTAGGTTCTTCCCAGTATTAGGTTTTACCAGTCTAGTACTAAGTTCCAGGCATCATGCACCTCCCTGTGCTACCCAAGGTTGAGGCAGTGTTAGTAAAATCTAACTGTTGGCCACCTGGAATGATGCTAAGTTGGGTTGTGCCTGATTCTTATAATTAAGAGGGTCTCCATAGTCTTAGGGTTATACAGAGTCCCATGCCAGAGCTAGTGGTGATGCAAGCTGAAATATGAGTCTGTCCCACTGGGGTACAGGTCTCTGTCTGGTACCAGAGCAGTTCTAGAGCCCCATTCATCTATGAGTACTGGCCTGACAATAGCTGTGCTGCTCAAGGTTGGGGGATAGATGGTGGAGACAGTCCTGTGTACACCACGATTAGCACTAAGCTGGTTTGCATCTGAGTCTCACAGCCATAAGAGCCTTCCTTGTCTCAGCCTTCTATTTTTCAGGATCTGAGACTTGGCTGCTGAACCCCAGCATTCCTCAGGTTAAAGCACAAGCTCTAGTCTAGACCTTCAAGGGTAGGCAGAGCCTCAAGACAACTTTGTTCAGCTCTGGCCAACCAAGAGACTTCAAGAGTCTTTCTTACCTCAGAGGGTTTGGTTATTCTCCTGACAGTTTCCACTATGTGTTTAAAAGATTTTTTTAAAAAAATATGTATTTATCTATTTCCTTAGTTCTTCACAGTCTCAGGAGGAGAGTGGGTTATCCCCAAGCTTACTCAGGATGGAACTAGTGCAGCAGAAACTCAAGTCTGTCCTACAGGTGCTTAGATCTCCACTGATACTGGAGCTGGTCTTGAGGCTCTGTCTCTGAGCTCTGTCATGTATATAGGGCCTTTAGTTTCTATTGGTTGTTAGATCTCACTGCAGTGGGCCTGGCACCGAACTCTGAGGCAAAGCCCTATGCTAGCTTTCATGCCCCCGTCCCCAGTGGGTGAAGTACTGATCCCCATTCTGCTGCCCAACGCTAGAGGAGGGTTTTTGGAGGTCTTTAGCCATGTGAACTAATGCATTTCTTGTTAGTCCACAGGTGTTAGCCTAGTGAAGGATTGTGGAGTTTTTGTCTACCTCTGGGTTTCACCATGGTAGGTCTGGTACTGGATTTCAAGTCTACAGCCTGAAATTTATCTTCTCTCCCTCCCTAATGTGAAAGGCACCTCTCTCCATGCTGAGCTGCTTGAAGTTAGGGAAGGTGCATGACATAAGCAACTTTTTCCTTCCTGCCTTTTCAGCACAGCTTTTCATTTTGTTACACTAAAAGCAGGCACTAGGGTCTCTCACCTATTTCCTTAGTTCTTGTACTGATTTTTTGGTGTACGAAGAGCTGGAGATTGAAGCTGGGGCCTCAAGCATGCTAGGCAAATGCTCTACCACTAAGCTACATCTCCAGTTCATTCTACTTCTTTTTGAATCAGTTTTGATAGATTATATTTATCTGGGGATTTGTCCATTTCACCTAGACTTCCAGAATTTTGATGAGTTGTTTAGAATATACCTTATATGCCTGCTGCAACTATTATTTGGTCTTACATACTCATCTTTATTTGTATATGCCCAGTCTCCTATTTGCCTTATCCATTAAATTTCTGATATTAATTTTTATATATTTTTTTCTTACAAGAAATACTGTTGGATTGTTTTTTAAACTTGCATGTAAGTTTTGAAAGTTCCTTGAGCATACTATTAATAATTCATGTATTTCTTTAAGTATACTTAGTATATTATCATAGTGAAAACATCCAGATTTGCAAGTCTAGTTCTATGAGTTTTTTCTGTTGACTCACTCATATATTGAGTGATTTTATGGTGGTCAACGCATGTTTATGGGAACTTCGTGGGAGTTCTTTGAGGCCTGTATGGAAAGTATGCTCCTGCAGAGAGAATTACATGTGAGTCTCTATAAATAGCATGAATTATGACCCCAAACATGTCTAAGATTGGGCCTGTGATGAGGGCTTCCGATTGGTACCTCTCCCTCCACATCAAACTGAGATAAGACCAAGACATGCAAGTACCTTCACCTACCATCCACCTCTGGAAGGCTTTTTTTTTTTCAATTCATTTATTACAAGGGGGTGACAGAAGAGGAAAGGATCTCAGGTGTGTCTGACCCAGCCTCCTATTTTTCAGGATCTGAGACTTGGCCGCTGAACCCCAGCATTCCTCAGGTTAAAGCACAAGCTCTAGTCTAGACTTTCAAGGGTGGGCAGAGCCTCAAGACAACTTTGTTCAGCTCTGGCTGACCAAGAGACTTCAAGAGTCTTTCTTACCTCAGAGGGTTTGGTTATTCTGCCAGTTTCCACTATGTGTTTTTTAAAAGATTTTTTAAAAAAATATATATTCAGCATTTTTAGTCTTTTATACTGAAGAAGCTTTTTTCTGACATGAGGTCTACCATATTGGACGAAATAGAGTTAGTTTTGGTTTTTTTTTTTCTAAAAGTGAAATATAAGTTTTAAATCTTATATAGAAACACAACTGTTGTCTTAAATATTTTTAAGTCAACCTCAATTTTTTAGATCACAGTCAAGGGCAGGGAAATGAATAAAAGAAGTAGCTACCATTTTAGTTTAACTCTAAATCATGCATAGGACCCTATGCTCATGGTCTCATTTAATCTACCTTCTCTATTCTGTGGGATAAATTCTGTTATTCCTATAGTAAAAAATGAGGTCACTGAAGCATGGAAGAGGTTCAGGAAATTTGTTCAAGGTCACATAATGAACATGTAATTCATAATGTTGATCTTGGGTCATCAAGAAAAAAAATCATGCTTGATGAAATCTGTTTATATTTGGAACATTGCTATTTCACAAGGCAGCAAAATGTGTAATATAATACATCTTAGATTTCCATTTAAATTATGGTGTTGTAGATCAGCATGGTGTTTCCATATTAAAAAAGGTAAGCATATCAAAGAATACCAAAGGCAATTTACCTTGCCTCTTTACTACTTTGTCTCCTCTAAGAAAAATTATTCTTAGAATGCCTCCCAAGGATTTTTCTGAATATCAAATCCCAAAGCACATTTATCAGATGGATGGGAGGAGGGGGGGCTTTGGCCAAGGACTTTAGAGATGAATTGCTAGGCATTGATCCCCTTGTTCCCTAATGCATTCCAAACCAATTCTCTCCCATAATTTCAGCAGCTGGGTATTGTTTGGTTCTAGTGTTAATATATACTTCTCCCTGTGAACATGTTTTTTTTTAAAAAAAAATATAGTTTATGTTTTTTTTCTAGTTGAACCTTAATGTTATAAATTGTACTTGAAATGAACTTTCTTAGTATACAAATTTCATATGAGAATGCTGGTACTGCTTCTTCCAATTGTTTCCAATGAACCTTCTTTTTCTTGTGCAATGCTGTTTTCTGATTTACCAATTTGGGATAGATATTGAAACATTCTGCTGCATGTTCATGTTTTTCTCAAATGAGTTTTCTTTCTCCTAAAGTAAGAAGGCCTATTAGCCAAAATAACAATAATAATAATAATAATGATAATAATAATGATAATAATAATTATTATCATCATTATATTATCATTATTATTATTATTATTCACAATACAAGTACTGGGAAGATATTCCTTACCCAAATTCAGAAGTAGGTAATTCTGACAATTTTATTTCCTCTGTGCTGGGCAAGTAATTAAGACCTGTGCTACTGCCTGCAGGTTTCCACTGGCATGCTCACAATCATCTGCCCTCCCTGGTCCTGCTACTTCTAAGGTCAGGCACATAAAGTGTGAGTTCCCACCACTTCAGACTTAACCTCCCCTCCCCTGACTTTTCTTCTAGGGGTGGCCACTTGCCTTGCCTCTGAATGCTTTGTTCCAAAGGAGAGGTGAAGAAGACCAGAATTCAAGGTCCCTAGTGTCTTTTTTGACCTTTCTATGCATAGGGAATGGGGAGAGAATGAAAACTCCCTTATGGTTCTTTTGTGAATTAATCTATAGCAAAAAAAGAGGACAATATACTCATTTATATCTCTAAAATCAACAAACTTGGTATTCTCACAGTCCTTTAATTGTTAAGCTGCCACGAATCTGTTCTGAAAAGTTCTATAATGATTTTTAAAAATTTTTTTTCAAGTTTTTCATCTAGTAAACTTGATGAACTCAGGTGTGTTTCATGGTGCCTACCATCATTTTCTCACTTGCAGAATGACTGAAAACCTCATGCCCGTATGAGTCACACATACAAACATTGTTATTCACAGAATGATGAAAGATTCATGTTACAGTGAAGTTCAGGAAATAAAGCGTTTTTCTTTTTACCCAGTTTTCCTGGTGAATGGGTAAATGACCATCATTCCTTCAGAAATGAAAAGACCACATGAAAACAACCATAACGCTACTCTGAAAACTGAAAGTGAACTCATTTTCTTCCTACATTCATTTGGGGTCTGTTTGCATTAATTTTGCCCACTATCCCTTCTTCTTTCTTCCTCTCTTTCTTCCCAGTTGAGCTTCAGTAATTTCAGGAGAGAGTGGAAATTCATTTCCTTCTTTATTTTCATACTCCGAAGAAGAATTGGGGGAAAGTTCTCACTTTGAGCTGTTATTTCGCCCACATTCTTTAGAAAAGGAGGATAAAGGCAGAATTTTTGAGATAGAACCTGAGTCTTTCCCTTGTTCTCTACGTGTCCCCATGTATCCCTCTCTATATAATCATCACCATTAGTTTTCAGATTCAGTAGGTGGAAACAACTTTTAATAACTTTAGGGTCTGACTTCTTATGGGATACCACAAGTGCAGAAAACTAAGTACATGATATAATGAAAGGTTCCTTCGGCAACATAACACAGTTGTCCCTCAGTGTCCATGGAGAATTGGTTCCAGGACCCCCTGTACCAAACTCTATGCATGCTCAGCTCCCTTGTATAAAATTACCTTCAAATTTGCATATAACTCATGCACATCCTTCCATATATTTTATATCATCTCTAGATTATATACAATACCTAATATAGTAGAAATGTTTTATAAATAGTTGTTGAACTGTATTGTTTAGAGAATAATGACAGGAGGAAAAAGTTGATATATGTTCAATACAAGCACAGATTTTTCCATGAATATTTTCAATCCACAGTTGCTTGAATTCACAGATGTACAGCCCACAGATATAGAAGGCTGACTGTAATCTAAGACTAAATAAAGTTGGGATCAGGGATCCAGTTGAGTATGCACAGGTGTTAACATACAACTCTTTCTGGTTGATTACCATCCAGCCAGAAGTGAATATGTCTTCAACTGCCTTTGTTTAAGTGGCAGGTGGTACCTGGGAAGTGCACTATCCTTACACTGGGGGTAGGTCCCATTTGTGTTTGTTCTTCCTATGTAAGTAATACTTACATGTAGGTTTTATTTGTATTTGTCTAAAATGATTTCTTGTAACTGTACCATTAAATTTTTATCAGATTTGTATCTTCTACCCACCAACACAGAATTTAACCATTTCAATATTTGCATATTTCAAGTTAAACTCAATATTCCATTCATCAGAATGACTTAAGTAAAATAGCTGAATAATTCATCAATTATGAATATATTCTGAATGGACCAGTGTTCAATGGGAACTTCTGGAAACTAAATTAAAAGTGTACAGTGTGACCTCCTATGTTGCTATCTTATAGCTACTACAATAATAGCAGTTAAGATATATTAATGTGAAAAGCAAAAAATTATTATATATCTACGTGTCAGTATATTTCTTTGGAAATTTCTGAATACCTTAATGAGCTTTGCTGTGTTTCATAATTGAAAAAGACATTATATTAGATTATTAACATAGATCTACAGAATCTCAGAAATGACAGAATTTAGGAGGCAGAATCATAGTATGGACTTTAGAATCAGACAAGTGTAGTGTGAAATCTCAACCCCTTCACCCACTGGCCATCAGACCTCAAGGAAAACATGTCTCCTTTGAATAATAATAATAATAATAATAATAATAACAATAATAATAATAATAATACTTACCTTATGGGTATTAAAGTCAATAAATATATGGGAAGTCCCTTGGAATATGATAAATGCTAAAGTATTTGAGACTTTAATTCCTATGACTATTTCTTCTACT